CAAGAATTCCCCAGCCAGCATGGCTGGCTGGGGAATTCTGGGAGTTGAAGTCCACACATCTGGAAGTGACCAAGGTTGAGAAACGCTGCTCCAAGGGCCACAGCAGTTGCAGCTTCGATGCCGTTAAGTCACCAGAAGTGGGAAGGCCCAAATGTTCACCCTTCCTTTTTTTTCCTCTGCAAAGTTTTAGCAGGAAGCAATAAATAAAATAAGGCTGGGTTCCTGCACTACACTGAAGCATCCTTCAGCTCCTGATGGTCTCGTGGACAGTATGGCAGTTTGCATTGTCTATAGCCTCAGGATTTCCTTGTGGTGCCCCATCCAAGAACTAAACCAGTTGGATTCTGCTAAGCTTTTAGGATGCGTTCCAGTAAGTCAGCATGCTGGCTGGGGAATTCTGGGAGTTGAAGTCCAGACATCTTAAAGTTGCCAAGATTGAGAAACACTGTCTTAGCATGTACAACTCATCACATTAAACCTCAATCTGATTTACAGGTTTGGCCATAGCATATTTTGTGAGAACAGCAACTGTTTTCCATTGCCCTGGGTCAGGGTTTAATCTGTTCTGTGAACTCAGCCTGTGTTTCAACCCTATCCGTTGATTCCACGCACCTACCTTGCGTCTTCTTTCCACCAAAAAATAGAAATAAAGTGGAACATTCCAGGAACCACAACACGAAATGACTGGCTTATGCGACTGGCCCATGCCTCTTTCATCAAGTTGGGCGTCGTGATTTTCTGCCAAAGTAGCTGACCCATCCATATTTGAAATGACCAACATCCCCCACCATCGCCTGACTGCGAAAGAAAAGCACTGGCAAAGGCTGTAAGAAAAAAACAACGTGCTGGCCTTAGACACTTACTCCTCCAGGAGATGGTAAGCTTCTACCCGCTCGGTCTGCAGGGTGTAAAAACGGTGCACCAAACTTTGCACGTCCATCCTGCAACTGAAAACAGGAGATGGGCTTGTCAGAGGTAATCGAAGACTTTTGCCCAACTTTGCGATTCCAAGAACAACTCCTTGGGGGGGACCGGAGTGGGGCAACTATCACCCTAAACCAGCATCAATTCCCCAAAGTTTTTACATACCCATTCACCCACACTTGATCAAGAGTCCTTTATATTTAATTGGCCTTTAAAAAGAAAAGGAAGACGTAGCCCCCTTTTATGGGGGGAAAGAGCTACTAAAAGGAGGTCATTCAGGGTAGGAAATGGAACCCCCGTGTCTCAAGGCAGTCTAGCTTCAGCTGCCAAAAGAGTGGGAATGAGGCAGAGGAATTAAGCACTGACTATAAAACACCTTGTGTGCATTTGGTGGACTTTGAAATGCTGGCCCAACTCAGGGAGAGAGCTTGTACGTGCTTTTCTTTAATTTTCCACTTTCGGGGAATGAGAAACAGCGTTCCTCCACAACCCGAACCTGCCCGTCCTTTGAAATCCCGAAGCCGCTTTGATCAAAACAACAGTTCACAATTTGGAAACAGTTCTTTGGTGGCCACCCTGCCTTTGAGAGAGAGACTGACTGCAGGCATGCTTCTTTGCCCTCGCGTGTGTACGTGCAACTGCGTGGGTAACTTTGATCAAGGGGGGCCCACTTTGAAGTTGGCAACCCCACCGTCCTCTTCTCCCCTTCCCGCCCCAAAAGCGTGCTTGGAACGGGCAGCGTCCGGTTTGGCTGCTTCTCCTCACGTCCTCCTTTGCCAAGACCCAACTCCTCGCCCTCGGTAAGGAATTTCCACCGGGCCCTTTCAACCCCGGCCTTTAATTGCAAATCCTGGCCGTGCGATGGTGTGGCACGCCGGGGCCTCCCAGTTGGAGCCAACTTCGGGGGGTTTGCACTACGCAAGTGGCGTTGATGAGGTTCCTGCTTCCCTTTGCACACCCCCTCCAAAATACACCCCCTCGTTCATTCTCTCTCTCTCTCTTGCACACACACATGTGCATATACAATACTCAACAGCTGCATCCTTTAACTTGGCAGTCTGGGGGTGAAGCACCCTTCCCTTTGACAGCACGTGTAGCCACGCGAGGGCCAAACCACAGCACTCTTGCTGGCTTGCAATATTGAAGGGCCCCCCATTCCTGCTGTCAGCCCCCACTCCAGCCAGCTTCTCAGTCACTTGTCCCCATTCTCCTGAGATATTCTGCTGTAAAGTTTTTTTAAGGTTTTTTTTTAGCCCACCTTTCTTAATTTTATAAATAACTCAAGGTGGGGAACATACCACATACTCCTTCCTCCTCCTGTTTCCCCAACAACAACCCTGTAAGGGGAGTTGGGCTGAGAGAGGGGGACTGGCCCAAAGTCACCCATTACCTGCCTTTCTGGCTTTGCAACCGAAAGGGTATCTATCTTCCTGGGCTTTTCCAACATGCACGGGGTTTTTTTGGCACACTTTGAACACGGGGGAGAACCTGCATTGTAACAGGAGCCTCAGTAACGGGAACAGCTGAGTTCTCCCCCCACCCCAGTATTTCACACAAATAAAATTGACAGGATCCATGTGGTCTCCAGGCCCGTCAGATGCACCACCGCCATGGCTACAATCTGCACGCTGGTGAGATGGGAAGGGAAGTTCACTAATGGCTGGTTAGCGTCTCTCCCCGGCCCCACCTGGAGCATCCAGGCTCACACACGGCCTCAGACACACCGGAGCCAAGATTATGAACCTCAATGGTCAGGCTGATTTTATGGATCCAGCCGGCAGAGGATTGAGGCATGATCCAGTCTTTGGGATGAATCACTCTGCAGCGATGCACTGCATCAAACATGAGGAGTTGGAAGGGACACTCCAAGGATCATCCAGAGTTTCTCACCCTTGGCAACGTTAAGATGGGTGGACTTCAGCTCCCAGAATTCCCCAGCCAGCCATCTTGCCCATGCTGGCTGGGGAATT